CCATTTTGATTTGGGTTTCCTAAATTATAAATCAATTTTAACCCCAAGTTATTTGGCTACTAAGAATTTTTTTACTGATCTTTTAGTCACTCTGCAGCCTATGGTTTCTTTTTTTTCTGCCGAAATTAATTTCGTGTTGATGGGTCATTTGGTCTACAATAAGAATATTTGTTTGGAAAAAGAGATCCCATCTCTCCATCATACATTCCAAAATCTTTTGAAAGGGGGATTGCTGGTTATTGTTATTATTTATTTGGAAATTTGGTTCAACTGAGTTTTTTTTGTCTAACTTCTCTAATCGAGCTTTAATTGATACTTGTAATCGAACTCCACTACTGTTTTATGGATCGATTACTGATTCATCAATCCTATACCAATTGAAAGACATTCCATTGAAAGACATTCAGACATAAGATAGATATAAACATCAAACAGAAGACATGCTGAAAGCAAGCACACAAGAACTACAAGGCTGAGAGGCTCTAGAAGCACCTTGCCGTTTACAATGCCTCATGAGGCCTTTTATAGACTCCGGACGTGAAAGCCGGACTTCAAATAAAATTAAAAGCACACAACTTGGCCAGGACAGCTGGCATTTGGAAACAGTAAAAGGTGAATAGTACAAAGCAAAAGTATATCTACAGTAACAGACAGGTGGGTCTGACAGAATAGTGCTCCACAGTGTCTGCCGATAAAATAGTGCTCCACAGTGTCTGCCGACAAAATAGTGCTCCGCAGTGTCTGCCGACAAAATAGTGTTCCACAGTGTCTCAGTCTGTATCTGGATACATGTCGTATGGATAACCGTTTGAGTCGTAGCTTCCTGCAGATGGGCTATGAGAAGGTCCACTGTATGAGTCATCACTTGAGCTATCAGTTGGTGCATCTTATGGTGGTGGATGGTCAGCAAGCCAATGGTAAAGTTGGTGGAGTAAAGCTGCTCCTCGAGGGGTTGTGTCATTCCATACTTCTTGTCTTGTATAAACATGCAGAGGAATAGTATCTGGAGAGACTCTGTTAATGTAACACATTGTAGCTTTGAGTTCGGACCAAATTTCTGCATTATTAGGCCAGAAATTAAGGAGATTAGAATCATACCATCCAATAGTTTCTATAAGGGGATGTTGGGTGATATAGGTATAATCTGGATAAAGAAGCGGTTTGAGAGTTTGGTGGAAACTGATAACAACATAAGGTTTCAGAAAGGGTCTGAAAGAATCCATCCAGTGAGTGTAGTGGTAATGTTTTAGGAAGAATCTATAAAAATTCAGGGCTCTGGGATTATGGTGTATATAATTATTCCATTGAAGAAAATGGCAGTGCCTTAGGTAGGAAATGAGTTTTCTTACATGGAATATAAAACAAATATGGTAGTTTTGGGTTAAGTACCATAAGATGCAGAGTACTTCTTTAGGCATAATAATGCCTGGTTTCAAAGAGGGTAAGATAAGGGTAAGATGGATGGCATCGAATTCCATGCATGCAATCTCCATGATTTCTTAAGACTATTTCATGCATTTTCTGTTGCATTTGGTCACTTCTGGAGGCTAGAGTTTTATCCAGAATCAATTCATATATTTCATCGGGAAGGTCATGATCTGTGTCATCAATGCGGATAATAGCTCCTGTGAAAGGAATGACTGAGAAAGTTGATTGTTCTGAAAATTGCCGCCGAGAAAACATATCAGCTAACACATTGTTTTTCCCCGAAATGTGTTTATATTCGAAATCCCATTGAGAAAACCAATTCGACCAGCGTAGAAGTTGGGGATTTGGTAATATTTTGTTTTTAAACTTCAGCATGTGTGGGAAAGCGGATAAGTCCATTTCAACCAGAATTCGGTAACCAATAAGGTGGAATTGGAACTTTTCTATTCCACGTTTTACAGCCAGAATTTCTTTAAAAGTGGAATGGTAGTGTAATTCAGACTGTTTAAATTTTCCACTTTTATAACCACAAATCATCCTTGTTTTGTCAATTTCCTCAAGAAGAATGCAAGCCCAAAATTCATCTGCGGCGTCTGTTTGCAAAATCCGTTTTCCAGAAGAGGGTATTTTTAATGAAGGCAAAGTTTTAGAAATGGATTTCAGTGCACGAACACTCTCAGTTTGCTTATAAGTCCATGGTGGTGCTTTCTTTTTTAAGAGCAAGTAAAGAGGGCTGGTATGGAGAGATAATCTTGGAATAAAGGGTGACATATAATTGACAATGCCAAGAAATTGATGTATTTGTTTAACAGAAGATAAGGTGTCAGGGAATTCTGACAAATGATTGGCAATATGAGGTTGAAGTTTGTACATCCCATTATGAAAATGCAGTCCAAGGAAATCAATTTCAGTAGCAGCAAAGACACATTTTTTCTCAGAAAGCATAATGCCAAATTGACAACAAAGAGAGTGGAATTTGGTTAACAAATTGATATGGCTTTGCAAGTTTGGAGAGAATAAGAGAATGTCATCAACATATATCAGAGTTTGTGTTGAGATGGGTTAAAAAATGGTAGTTAAAACCTTTTGAAAATAGGTTGGTGCATTTTTTAAACCAAAGGGCATGACAGTCCACTGAAAATGATAATTTGGTAAACAAAAAGTTGTTTTGTGTCTGTCATCTGGATGTATCCCTATTTGCCAAAAACCAGATTTTAAATCAAACTTTGAAAATATATGTGCATGATAAATTTGAGAAAATAATGCAGTTTGGTTGGGCAAAGGGAATTTATCATCAGCAAGAAAAGAGTTTAAGGGTTGGTAGTTGATTACCAATCTAAGTTTCCCTCGAACTTGTTCTGCTCTTTTATTGACATAAAAAGCTTCACAAGCCCATGGGGAGCTAGTTGGTTCAATTAATCCTTCCTTAATCAAGTCATGTATTTCTTGCTTTACCTGGTCTAGCATTGCAGGATTAAGTCCTCTGTGAGAGGCTTTTGTGGGGTTTATGTCTTCATTCCTTTTGAATGAAGAAATATTCAGATTAGTATGCTCTACGTCTACGTAGCTGGTCTACGATCTCTCATATCAGAACACAGAATATAACTTGAAGGTTAATTTCAGTGACTTTATTCCACTGCTACAAACTTTCTTGAGTTACATGTTAATAATAGGAACTCTGAGGGGCTGAGGAATGGCCTAAGAATGGAGATCATACCTTTAACATGAAGTGAAAGAAAGTTGGCCTTTTCAACCCAAAACCAAAATCATAGTCAACAAGCAAGATATTTTTGAACTCATGGCAGGAGATATTTCTTCAGAAGTAAGTTTAGATACTCCTCGTTCATCCACCTCTGAACCTATGTTTTCAAAACAAGAACATCGTTTTGAAATTACCTATACTCTTGAAAATTTTTCTGAAACTCGATCTCAGTTGATCAATCCTTATCATGTTTATGATAAATCAAGCTTAAACTGGACTAAAAGGATTAAGAAACTTTGTGGAAAGAGAAACTTTGAGTCCATAAAAGAGTATGTCCAAGCCTCTTCTTTTGATCAACATCATATCCCAGCCACCCAGTCTGAACAATATGTTACAATAACCTACCAAAACATCTTTTCCCTTTATGGTTAAAAGAAGGATATACCCATATCCATTTTGGAGCCATAAAATTAGCCTTAACCTTTTATGGCAGAAAAGGGATGGAAGCAGTAACCAGAATTGCTTTGCTAGATACAAGATTTCTTGAATATCAACATGCTTGTATAGGCACCATTCAAACCACCTTAAATGTAGGCACCATCTTTGTTACCTTCTTCCCAAATTTCAATATTCCTATAAAAGACCCCAATCTGAGTTCAGCGTTCAAAGTTCAGTTACAAATAACTGGAACTAAACAAATTGAGACCTCTTCAGTAGCTACTCTTCATTACCAAATGGTCTATCGTTTGCAAAACCATGCATTCGATATTGTTACACCTTTAACCCCTGAAACAGAAAACACTGCTTTGTTCATCAAAGTTGATAACAATTCTCAGCCAGTTTGCCACTGTCCCCAGACAAATATCCAGGGAAAGATTGATTGAATTAATACCCTCCACTTGGGTTACAAACTATGAGAATTTACAAGCTCAAAGCCAACCAGTGTTACAAACTGAGTCCAGAATGACTAGATTGACAGATGGTCAGGTCCAAGTTGATTTCCTACCTTCAGGACAAGAAAGTCAAACCAGAGATATTTTTCCAACTCATTTCCAAGGAATACTCGAAAAAGTTCCAATTCTTGCATTTAACAAACTTGGCCAACCCATTTATGAACAGAAAACCATAGATGGCCATAATTGGTTTGACTGCTGCAACTGTGACTCTTGTCTTCAAACTGATGATGAAATGGAAATAAAGAAAAACAGAAGAACATCAAAGAAAAAATCTTCTTCTCAACGATTGCATCAAAGATATCAGGATGGAGATCCTACAGTTGATCTCTTAGGAGAAAGTTCAGGTAAGTGGGATTATTATGTGACTTATGGTACTTCTCAACTTCCAGTCCCACAATCTTCTCCTATCATTCCCACTGGATGGGATGATAAAGATGATAAAGATGATTCCACAATACAAAACAGCTGTTTAATGTTTGACCCTTCCAGTTCAAATTATGCAGATAGTTTTCCTCCTCTTCGTGATTTTGAAAAAATCCAAGAGAATGAAAAGCGTGTTTGGAAAATAAAAACCCCTCCGGCAAGAGACTCCTCTGGTACTTCTAAACAGATTTCATCTGCTGAAGCAAGCCTAAACTGGCAAGCTGAGAATGCTAAGTTTCAAAATTTGGCATTACTGCGACTAGAAACTACCCAAAATTCTATGAAAGCCCAGTTGGAAACTACCCAGAACACCTTTACGTCTCACACCCAAGGGTTGACACGCATAATTATGGAATTGAAAGAAAAAATTTAACTGTTACATGAAGAACTTTTGCAAATATTGTATTGTGTGAAAGACATGCATGAACAATCTTATTTGTTGTCCGTCAAACGGAAAGAAAAAACATTTTTGGAGAAACAATTATAAAGCCTTGAAAAGGACTATTGGATGAAATCCCAATATCAATCTCCATACCAAACCCAATATCAGCCTTTGCCAACCTTTTCTCCTCAACCAAGTTATCCAACCTTGAGAAACCCATATCCTTTTCCACCAACAAGAACTTTGTATCCCCCTACTAGAATTATTCACCCTAGACCTTTTGGACTAAGATCCTATAATCCTTATGAAGATGAAAGAAGATTTCCAGAAGAAATGTTCTTTCCTCAATTAAGGAAACCACAACCTAGATCAGAACCTAGTCCTTCCCAAACCAAAAAACCAAACCAGACACCTCCTACAGAGAAGCCTCCCAAACAAGAAACCCAGATGTTCCAACCCTCAGAAATTGATTCTGAAATAGTTGCCTCATCCACTTCTCATTCCATACAGCTACCCGAACCTGAACCTCTTGGTAATATGAGCACCTTCTTAAAAAATCTTACCAAACCCTCTGAGATAAACCTTCATTCTGAAACCCAGTCTTCCTCTGACTCATTATCAGAAACTTCTACAGCTACAACATTGTCTGAAACTTCTGAAACTTCTGATACTTCTGATCCCCTTTACATGTTGAACCAACCAGAAGCTGACCCTCCAGAAGAACCTTTGGAACCAGATCCAGATCCCATACTTGCAGAAGAATTTAGACTTCCCAATATTCCACTCCCAACCTATGGAGATTCCTCAAAAGGTTTTACTATAAATGACATCCCTCCTTCGAAATGGATAGACAGATTCAAAGAGATCCAAGGATGGATGCATGCTGAAATGTTAAATCCAGCAAATACTTTGACCAACACAATTGCGAAAGTCATTGTTCGTTTTCGTGGAAGACTATTTGACTGGTATGTAAGCCTTGGAGAATATAGGCAAACTCAATTAAGAAATAGTCAGTCCATTATTGAATTTTTCAGCTATCTCATTGCTGAATTCACAGGGCCAGTCAGACATGAACAGATTACTGCAAGAGAAGAATTTTTCCAACTTAAATGCTGTTCTTTCAAACGGCATGATTTGGAAAAACATTTTATGGAAATGAACAAAAGATACCATAAGATTGGAGGAATCGATGATGTTAATCTCAAGCAATATTATTTAGAATCTATTCCTTCTACTTTGGGCAAAGAGGCCACCAAGACCATGGAAAACCAAGGACTCACAATTCAAATTGTTAGTTTTGGAGAAATTTATCAGTTTGTTTTACATGCTTTAGAACGGTTATGTAACCAAGTAGAATTTGTCAAGCAAATGGAGAAAAACAAGTATCTTCTTGGGAAATCCTGTGACAAGCCGTATTTAAAGATTAAATGTGACATTGAGAAACATTGTAGATGTCCTTCTCTTGGAAGAAAAGCAAAACAGAAATATCGCCATACTATGGACCACAAGAAGAAGAAAAAAAAATTCGAAACTTATAAATTTCTTCGCCGATCCAAAATCCAAAAGCATCGAACCAAAGGAGACCGATGTTATGTTTGCGGCCAAAAAGGACATTTTGCAAACAATTGTCCCAACCAACAAAAAAAGAAGAAGCTCATCCATCTTCTTTCACAGGCACTAGATGAATCTATTAATGATGATTTGGAATCAGTGTTTTTGCTGGATGATGAACACAATGATGAGACTTTGATCTCAATCTCCTACACAGTGGACTCTGAGCTTAATGAAATCTCAAATTCAGTCATACCTGAGGTATTTTGTCCCCCTGAATATTCCCTGAACCTCTAAACCAAATACCTGCTGACTCCTATCCACTCTGTCAACCAACCCCAATAGCCATGGTTCAACTCCTACATGAACACTATTCCAAACCACTTACCCTCCCTGCCTTTTTTGATACTGGCGCATCTGCAAGCATATTAAAACCTGATCTGCTCCCTAAACAATTTTGGGATCTGTAATTGGTATTCAATCATTTTTTCTCTGTTATGTCTCTACTTGGATGAATTTTTTTTTCTCATTTTTTTGGTTAAAAAAGACATCCTTAAAATGTTTGAAGATATTATGGATAGATTGTTTTAATCATGGATGCAATGTTTTTTTTTTTTCTTTTACCATTTAATGAGTCCTTTGTTGAAAAACTTTAGGAGAAACATTTTAACCACGTTTTTTGTTTTCTTTCTTTTTTCTTGTGATCATATAAATGGTTGCTTTGTTTTATCCCATGATCATCGATTATTATCAGTTTTATCACTGCTATTGTTTGTTCGTAGCAATATAATATCTATTTGTGATGATTTTTGGGTGATGTTCTAGTTTTGAATAGTGGTTAGTATTTATGTGTTGGCCCACTTGGATTTGATTATTTTGCTGGTTATGTGGGTATGTAGCTTGTATTTGGGTGCGTCGCTCTAGATATAATTAGGAGGTATAATCCATGAGTTGGTTCATTTGATTCACATCTTTATTAGTGATTCTGTTTTTTTTTGCTTCAATATATGTTTTTTGTTTCTTTTTCCTTTTTTTTTCCCCTTTTCCTGGTTATTTGGGTAGGTAGCTCTAAAAATAATATAGGAGTTACAATCCATTATTCATATTTGTATAAGTTTTTTATTTTTATTTTTATTTTTTTTGGTCTAGTATGCTTGCTTGAAATGAGGATGACTGTACCTAAATGAGGAAGTTGAGATGGATGAGTGGCAAGACCAAGAAGGAAAAAAATTGGAATGAACAAATTCAAGGAAATTTAGGGGTAGCTCTAATAGCAATTAAAATGCGGAAAAATAGACTTAAATTGACATGGATGAAAGTAGTAAGAAAAGATATGATGACTTATTTTTTTAAAAAAATGTTAACTACAAATGCTGAAAAATCCAGAAGTTTTTTTTGGTATTATCGGTTCATACAATACATATTTTAGATCATATTACCTTCTTTTAGTTTTTTTATTTCCCATTGTACCTTTGGTTTGAAAATTTAAGTATGGAACCACAAAATTGGATATATTTGAGCAGTTCCAATGTCCAACTTTTGAATTATTTGAGGGAATTTTGTGGAAGTAAAAGATGAACAAAATAAGCAAGTGGGATCTATGAAAATTTTGAGAAACTTGAATGGAAGATTTTAAATACTGTAAAGAAGGGTGGTAATTTTGAAGTTTTTACAATTGATGGTGTTGAAAGTACAATTTACTCTTTTCAAAATTAATTAAAAATTGATTATACAGCCTAGTCCAATCTCGTGATTAAGTTGTTTAGCCTGCCAGAAATGTGGTTAGAAGGATTTTTGTGGTCTTAAGTTGATTCGTCGTCTGAATACACAATAGAAAATAGTGTTTTTGAGTTTTTGAAAGTCTAGATCTATTGTCCCCCTCAAATTGATGAAGTCCATTTTGAGTGCGCAGGGTTGGATTTACAACACTTTTGAGTTCCTAATGTCTTTATTTTTCAAGTAATTAGAGAACTTTATCAAATCACATAAAAATTTAAACCATTTGACTTTTCACATTGGTGTGATTGATAAATTTCTAAACCCCTAAGAGTGTATCATTTGATGGGCTATTTGAAATTTGATCAAACGAATGATTAAGCTATTTGAATTAGATGAATAGGTAGGAGTTAGACGTTAAATAGTTCAACTCTTACTGTGATTTGACGAATTTCTTAATTATTAATATGAGGCATGTAATCGAAAACTTCCTAGATAAAAATATTCTCCTTGACTGCACTTTTTTCTTTTTCTTTTTTTCCTTTGAGTGGGGTGAGTGGAGGATGATCATGTGCTGTGGGTGATTGGGCTTCTAATTGGTGGCCAAATTTATTCCATCAAAAATTATAAACTTTAATGTTCTTATGCTCCCAAGTAACGAGTGAACATTAATGTGACTGTGGTATGAAGTGCATTGGAGCTACTAAATTTATTAGTTAGTAAGCCTAATAATGAACCATGACTCATCTTGGATTGCAGGCATAAGCTAGTTTCTTTAAGAGAAGTGCTGGTGCATGTTTGCTTGTTTGATTTGGATCAAAAGTTTGGATTGAATTGGATTGTTAAGTGGTAAGAAAGAAGAAGAGAAAGAAAATGAGTGAAGGTAGCAAAAATGGATTATCAGCTATGGAATCAGAGAAACGTCCTACTCCGCGATTGAACGAGAGGATCCTTTCTTCCTTGTCGAGGAGATCGGTAGCCGCGCACCCATGGCATGATCTCGATATAGGTACCCTTGTACCCCACGTAAACAACAATTTCCGTCCCTCTTCACTCTTATTATCACACCTTCTTTCTCATATACTCATCCACATTTTCTCTGTCTCCCAATCTTCTCACTCCCTCCCTTCCATACAAACTCTCTCTCCTAAACTCACTACGTCTTTATGCCTTGCACGTAGGACCTGGGGCTCCCTCGGTTGTCAATTGCGTAAGTATTCTTTACCATGGCATTTGATAATTGTGTATGGGGTCATGAGGATTTGATAATTGCGGAAGAGAGGCAGTTGATCTTTATTGCCACATGAAATATGGGGTTATGAGGATCATCATCATCAAATCAATAAGTTGGAAAGTGAGGGGAGAAAGTGGGACCGCCAGAGCATAAAAGAACGTTATTAGTGGATCCCACTCTATCTCACCCACCAACTCATTGATTAGGAGGAGATGACTCTTATGACCATAATCATGAGGATTATAATTTACTTTTAGTAATTTGTAATGCCTCTCAAAACTGATATCCTCTCAAATGCCAAACCTTATCAACGACTTGGCTCCCATCTTGGTAACTGTTCAAATCTCACAAAATATACAACATGTTGACTGGTCTTGAGAGGAAAAGTATACATATTACATACTTTTCAGAGAGAAATTTGTATTAAAAATAGATAAAACAATAAATGTATCAAATTTTTTTCCAATATTATCATGAAAGTATAGTAACTAAAGCAAAATGATTGGGTTGGATTGTCATCTTTTAAAAGATTGAGCTGCACATCCTCACTTTAATTATTAAGATAAAATAACATCTTCATGCAATCTTAATTTATTTTTAATTTTTAAAAAGGATTAGTAAAAATTCCTAATCTTCAAAACCCTATCCTCTCAAAATCGATTTAGAGTTGGTCCACCATGGATATTGGTCTGCAGAGGTGTCACTGTGTGACCTTTTGTTGTTCATTTATAAAGGAACAACGAGGAATGGAAAAATAGAGATATGATTGTATCACTAGCATAAAACATGTTATGGGCATAATTAATTCCTATTCCTAACTAGACTACATTGTGTCATATATAGGTTGTGGAGATAGGAAAAGGAAGCAAGGTCAAGTACGAGCTGGACAAGAAAACTGGGCTCATTAAGGTATTACGCTTGTTCTACTAGTGAGAATAACATTTCTTCATTGATTTTTTCAACATTTTCACCCTTTGTCTTTGACAAATTACTCATTATTTCTTTTCTATTTTTGCTCTTCGAATGAAAACTTAATGAAGAATTGACACATGCACAGGTTGATCGTATATTGTATTCTTCGGTGGTTTATCCTCACAACTACGGTTTCATCCCTCGAACACTTTGTGAAGACAATGACCCTATGGATGTCTTGGTTCTAATGCAGGTAAGACAAACTCTAAACCATCCTCTGGAATCAATTCCAAGAGTATCTAGGTAACTTCAGATAAATAACTATACAACACTGATAACTTTGGGACAATTAAACAAATTGGTAACATGCAACCAACTTGTTCTTGGCAAGCCTATGGATGTCTTGGTTCTAATGCATGTAAAACAAACTCTAAACCATCCTCTGGAATCAATTCCAAGAGTATCTCGGTGACTTCAGATAAATAACTATACATCACTGATAACTTTGGGACAATTAAACAAAATTGGTAACATGCAACCAACATGTTCTTGGCGAGTTTTGACAAATACATCTAGAATGGATTGGTGGATATATAAGTTGGACATACGTGTTCATTCTTCTTGCAAGTTTTGACACTCCAAGAATGTGCTATGTGTGCCTTACACTTTAGAAACCTGGGCACTTTTGCTTAGGTTTGCAAACTGTCCCTGCTCAGGACCGACCTGACAGACTTGGTGTGGCTTGAGCTTGACCTAGGCCTGAACTATATGTAAAAGGCCCCAGCCTAAGGAACTGCCTATGGGCCAACCATGGTGGCCCAAAGCTCGTATGAAAATAGGCCTAGCCGAAGCTTGCAGACAAGACCAGAACTTAAGGCTGCCAATAAAATGAGTCCAGGCCAGGCCAAGCTTGCCCTGGGGCTAGCCTGAACCTTCACAGCCAGGCCCGGTCCTGCTCATGACAATTTAGACCCAAGTGTGGCTGGAGCTGGCCCATGGCCATTCTTGGTGGTTTGAAATTGGGAAAGTCTATTCAAATCTTATTTGGAAAAATTTATTTCTGACCTGATTTTTCCCAAATACCGTAACCATAGTTTGAATTGGATTAGACAGGCTTGTTCGGCTCTAGTTTTAGCCATAAAGATATTTCATTATAATAAATGTAACAATAGTATTAGAGTAAGCAATAATTAACCCAAAGCCACGTATACTGAGTACTGTGTTTCTGGCTAACATGTGTCAAGCATGTCACCCAATATCTTTCTCATATTTTTTAATTTGATATGGGTCTGAAGAATATCAGGAAGGAATTCTTGGGTCAGGGAACCCCTTAGATAATGGGATCACAGGCAACATGTTTAATGCATACTACTCAAATATGACCTAATATATCAGCTCCTTTATCATTGAATTAAAATAAATCAACTCATTTGATAATCTGGCCAGAAATAACCAATTCATTGCCTAGCATGCTTTTAATAAAATTAGATGGCATTGATATTATGTCCTTTTCCTTTTCCTTTTCCTTTTCTGATAATTGTTTAATTTTTAGCTTTAGTTAATTTCTGCCCTCATTTACTGCTTAAATATTTCTAAGGTCATGATATTTTGAGATAGCTAGTTTGCTATATCAAAAACACAATATAACTTTCCTTCTAGTTTCTGTGGTGACTTTGCAACTACTTATTGTCTGCAAAGTATATCTGTTATATAACATTGGTACTTATATTAATTTAATGATTACCAGGAACCAGTTCTTCCAGGTTGCTTTCTTCGAGCTCGAGCTATAGGACTAATGCCCATGATTGACCAGGTATTTGATTACTAGAGGAGAACATGCAGAATTCGAACACTTGGCATTTTTCATTTTTCCAATTTCATTTAGTTATCAACTATTATCTGAATGTATTTTGTTGTTTCTGGGCATGGAAAACAGGGTGAGAAGGATGATAAGATAATTGCAGTGTGTGCGGATGATCCAGAATATCGACACTACACTGACATCAAAGAACTCCCTCCTCACCGTCTACAAGAGATTAGGCGATTCTTTGAAGACTGTATCTTTTTTATCATTTCTCATATATAATGGTTTCTATTGAGGTGAAGTACACCATATATCTGGCCCTTTATGGTATATTGTACACCACAGTGGCATCCATGATCCATTATTGATGATGGACATGGGAATAAGCATTTGAGTGCTTGTAGTTTATCTTTGTTCTCCATCACTGGAAACAGACAGGCGATCCACCTATGTTATACTCTGCCTTCAATTATTAGCAGTCTTTCTCAATTATTACTTAGTACTTGGGTTTCCTTTACCATAGTGTAACTTAGACAAGAAGAACGAGAACAAGGAAGTTGCAGTGAATGACTTTCTCCCTTCCACAGCTGCATATGAAGCCATCCAATACTCCATGTGAGTCTTTTCTCTTTTCACATTTCATGGCACATCAAATGTTATAGAATACAAATATGCATATGCATAGAACTTGAACTATCAACACAAACTCCAAATAAATTAATCTCTCGTAATCACATTTACATTTGCTTATCACTGACATATCACGATCGTTCATATACATGTATAAAAATGCATAGAGAACAGACTCCTCACCTTACATAGTTTGAACTACTGTAATTCATTAAAATGTATGATATGTAATAGAAGGGGCAGGTACACCCGTTTATCACTGATATTTCGTGATCATTTTCATATGCATGTATTAAAATGCCTAGAGAACAAACTGCTCCTCTCACATAGTTTGAAATTACTGTAATTCATTAAAATGTATGGTATGTGATAGTAGGGGTTTATTTTGTTTCTTATTTAAGTAGGTTTAACATGTGGTCTGTGGTGCAGGAATCTTTATGCAACCTACATCTTGCAAAGCTTGAGACGTTAATGGACACTACGATTGGATATCTATCGATTATCAAAAGCTAATATATAATAATTCGTATTCTTTACTTCATAAAATCACTTGGACTGTATATTCCTTTGATGTGCCAATAGTTGAATAAATCCATCGAGCTATTGCTTTTTCGTTTTTTATTTATTTCAAATTTGTCTCTTGATCTTTGCTCTACAGTACATTTGTGGAGTTGTATTTCTTGTTTGGCGAAATTCATGGACCTCTATCCTTGAAAGAGGTTGAGATTTTTTATTTGCTTTGCCATGTACAAGTCGTTTTGGCTCATCAATTCAGTACTTCGAACCAGATAGTTCTGGCAAATATATATGGCCACAAAAACAACTATTTTTGTTGGGCCTTGGGCTACATATAAATATTGATGATTGTAAATGCTTTTTTCACAACAGTGATTGAGATTCCATTCTTGGCTTTCCATTTGTTGAACCCGGAAACATAATTAGGCTTCATCGATTGTTTCTTTTATTTCTCTCTTAGATGCGTGAAGTATCCATTATATTGTCTCATCATAGGGATGACAATGGGCTGAGTGGCCTGGCCAGGCTCGGCCCTAAAAAACTAGGGCTTGGGCCACATAATGTGGTCTGCGGGCTAGGCTAGGGATGGGCAATTATGGCCACTAGGGTAGGGCTAGGTCAGGTTTGGGCCAAGGCTGGCCTGGTTTAGCTTGGTCTGCTCTCTTATTCCTTGTATTCTTTTTTTATCTTTAGATTTTATTTGGCATAGCCTAGCGTGGCCCAACCTTGATAGAGGGCAGGGGGTTGGGCCTCGTCCAGGGCCTCTTTTGCTCGGTCAGGGCTTGAGCAGGCCCTATGGGGACATGGGCTGAGCTAGGGCCAAGGCTGGCCTGGCGTAGGTTTGGTCGTTGCTAGCTCTATCTCTTCATTGCCTTCATACCCATAAATAGGACCTGATGAGCCATGCACATGTGACCACATGATCTATATGGTGACATGGATTACATAATTCCTTCCCTAGCAGCTATAGAACAAGCTTGTCGAAATGCCTTTTGGGTAGGTGTTTTCCTACACACCAAAGGGAGATAAAATGAAAAAAAGATAGGGTAAAAAGGGTATTAAAACATGGATCGACTGCCTGGTTCGGCCTTCCTTGTACTTATCTCGGCCCTCCTTTGTACTAATCCAGATTGGTCGAATTGGAGAGAGAAAACGAAAAAAAGATAGGGTAAAAAGGGTATTAAAGCATGGATCGGCTGCTTGTTTCGGCTCTCCTTGTACTTATCTCGGTCCTCCTTTTGTACTTATCTCGGTCCTCCTTTGTACTAATCCAGATTGGTCGAATTGTACTAGCCAAATTGGCGTGTGGTTTGTATAGAGTTTAGGCTCTAAACAATCAAATTAGAGCCTACCTTTAAATACTGTCGAGCAATGTGGTTTTACTATTGGAAATTTTTGTGATAGCTTTAAAATATATGTTCATATTTGTTTATAAAGTTTAAAGCTTCAAAAATAGTGTAGATCGACATATCTATGAAAACTTGAAAATTTTGAAAATTGACGGTCCAAAAATGCGATACAAAATACATTATTTCTAAAACTTTGAAATCCATTTTTTTCTCATGTCCATACATCTTGATGTCGAGATGATCAATTTGAAGATATTTGGGCATCAAAACAACCTTTTCTAATGAGATTTTTGAGGTAGGCTCAAATTTGATTGTTTAGAGCCACAACTCTCTATATATAAACTTTTCCCTAAAATTAAAATTGATAAAATAGGGAGAGAAAAATTGCATAAATTATTTCATTCTATAAAATTTTTGTTCGATAACATAGATCAACAAAAAAGTATATTATAGAAGGGGAATAGTGGGTTTGGGAAAGAATATTATTGATTGTCAATTCGGCCCAAAGAAGTATAAAAAATATGACCAAATCGAATGTTCCCAATGAGTGTTGACTATTTTTAAAAGGGTGTGGCTTGTATGAGGTTGAACAACCCAATTAAGGTGCACCTCCAAATTTTATCATAATATGTAATTTTGGTGTAAAACATTCTTAGGATTATTTGAAAATCTATTTTTATTTTTAATTATAAAATTTTAAAGTCCAAAAATGGTTAAAATCAAGGAGTTGTATAAACATATAAAAATCTTGAAAGTGGTCGGTCTAGATAGTGTGTTGCAAGATGCAGTATTTTTCGGAGTCAAAAAATATTTAATTTATTTTTTCATATCAATACATCTCGATACTGAAATGATCAATTATTTAACCTTAAAACAACATTTTCTGATGGATTTTTTATATGCATTTCTAATTCTATATTTTAAGGTTGCAACCACATATATAAACTTTTTTCTTTTTAAATATCAACAACTTTTCAATCCCTTGGCAAAACCATATCCATTCATGAACTCTTTTAAGATATAGGGCTCTTCTATCTTCTATATGAATGTTGCATGCGTTTACCCTAAATTATTGCTTTATGCAAATAGAAATTAGTAGTAGTCCTCTCTATCTCTATCAGACCATTTGTTCTGCTTTGACACATGTTATTTCTTTTTAAAAGTTACGACAAGGCCCCTTCATTACATTATCTAGACCGCCAATTTTCAATATTTTCAAGTGTTTTTATATCTAATAGACTTGCATTATTTTAAGAGGCTTAAGTTTCACAATTATAGGTTAAAAACACGTTTTTAGGCCGCCACAAACTTTTCTAACACCAAAACTACGTCTTCTAGTATAATTTAAATGCGCACTAGATTGTTTAAGGTTGATACCTTATACAAATGGCACCCTAAGAAACAATAAAGTTCAAACCATTTTTAATTGGACCACGATTGTACTGTATGACATATGCTTACGATTTTCACTCGTCCGCATCTCTATTTTCTATGGGATATTTATAGGTTGAATAAGGGTTAAGCTGGAAATTAGTTCTTATAATCTCTGGGCTTTGAGGGATTCTTTTTTTAAATTTTTTGGATTTTTTGATAAACAATCGACCCAAAATAAATCAAAACAGGTTTAAAACGAACACTTACACATCGGGCCATGCAGCGCATCGCTAAAAGGTGTGCAGGCTCATTGGAGACTAAATCATCATTTCTTTAAACAACATCAACCGTGCCATAAGTTTCTAATCGTAAGTCGAATTCAAGCCATTTTTAGACCATTAGAAATCTTGTAACTTGCTCTATAATTTGAAACCAAATTTGGTAAAAGTTGAGATAGTTTCGAGGGTCTATAAGGCTAGGAATTTAGGGTCTCGGTTTTAGGTTTCTGGATGTTAGATCAGTGTTTTGGGTATGCAGGACTCATGAGTTTCTAAGGTGACTATGTGAGGATATTAGGATAAGATGATTGGGTTTAATTAAACTATGGTTTACTAGGGTTTGTGTGGTCTTGTTTTTTAGGAATTGCCGTAACCAGAGGGAGGTATCTGCACATGTCAATGAGGATTTGGCAACAATACTTTTATCCAAACTTAATAACTTATATATGTCAAAGTTCCTCACAAATTGATCATACTAGACGTAACAACAATACACCTTATGACGAGGATAGGGCTCTAATCTTGTTTTTCTCGTTCGTTTGAGCAATCATGTTATTACGCTACTCGATGGAAAATTTATCACAAAGATGGATAGGGCGATTGTGACACTATGCACTTATGGAAATATAGAGATGATACACTTTTGTTGTCTTTTTTTTCTCTCTCTAGAAAGAGAAAGGTCAAAATTATAGAGAGGCATTGGGTGATGCGAGAGAAAGCGTGGAGAGAGGTTTTGTGAGAGGCACTGGTTCTCTTTGGTAAGAGTCACTCGCATTTTTCGTTTGATTTATTTTTCTAGCTTGTTCTTTGCTTGTGGCCATTTTATTATTTTTTGGCTCTTTGCCAAAAATCAAGTCATCAGCTTTTAGAGCTTTCACACACAACACTGAGAATTACAAGAACAAAATAATGATATGTAGTCTCTCAAGTTTATTCATGAATACATATGGGCAATAAAAATAATCAAAAGTTGTCTACAAAGAAAGTGCTAGATATGGTGCTCTTGGTTTTTCATGCCATAAAGGTGATAACTATGCATATTTTCAGGGAAGCAAATAAACCCATGATAAGCTCGTCAGATTCAATCTGACATAAATGGAATAAACTTCAAAAAGGTCAGCTCAAACCTAGACATGGGCTTGTAACAATGGCGAAACATAATCGCCACAAGAGCTTCAATCACATAAATTTAATACAAAAACTTGGTCACAACTGCGAATTCTTAATACATAGCATAGGATAAAATGATATGAAGAACATTAAATATCTAATTGTTCTCATAATTCTTAAAAAGGACTTCCCTCACTAAAGCATTTAGATTCTCATAAGAGGAGCCTCCTGGTTTGATAGCCTTCTCTGCTATCTGTTTCCACTTCATTATTTTGGTCCTCATCTCCTTTCCCTTCGTCCCTTCCATCAACATCCTCACTTTGTCCTCCACCTCTTCCCTTTTGACATTGTTGTCTATCTCCATGCCAAAACCCCACTCAGTGCAGGCATACCTACAATTGGTTGGTTGCTCTCCCAAACATGGCCAACATATGACAGGCACACCATTGCAGATGGCCTCAAGAATAGAGTTCCAACCACTATGCGTCAAAAACCCACCCACTGAAGCGTGAGAAAGCACGTGTTCTTGGTTGCACCAATTTGCAATCAACCCCCTATCCTTAATTTCATCCATGAACTCTTGGCTCAAAATAGCGGCTTCACCCATCATGAGATCTCTACGAGTGATCCATATGAAGGGTTTATGGCTATTAGCAAGGCCCCAAGCAAACTCATTGAGTTGATCAAGAGTTAGCACCGCGACGCTACCAAAGTTCACATATAAAACCGACATAAATTGTTGTTTATCGAGCCAAGCCAAGCACTCATTCTCTTCTTTCCACAAACTCGTCAGAATAGACTTATCCTCTCCTTTGGATTCGTGTTTGCTAAAGGTTAGAAGAAGACCGATTGTGTAAAGTGGGCAAGCGATTCGAGATCTCATAGCTTTAATAACATCCTTCTCCAAATCATCAAATGTGTTGAGAATGAGGGCCGAAGTCCTCAGTGCCATCTGAGATTCTGTTATGCTATAGTTAAGAAGGAAGTCATCTGGATCAGCGGTCCTAACAACAGATACCATGTCCTTGAAACAAACATTGGGCATTCCTGGAACCCAGTCTAGAGTGGTTTCCAAGTACCCTTCAGCAAGGCTGCTTAAATCTGCACTCACACACAATAAAAAATTCAAGCCTAAAACAACCATTAAACAAAGTCCAATCAAATGTACATATGATTAAGCTCCTTTTTGCTAACTAAAGTGACTTAACTTAAAAACTTAGTTTTTGAAAGTTCAACTCAAGAAAAATAATTTCACTCAATAGTAAATTAGAGTTCACGTCCATTTGATGTGAATTTTCTAACACATCCCACTCTTTCAAGCGATTTTCACTCTAATACGAAATGGTAATGCATGCCCTCTGATTTATTAAGAAGACAATTTAGCATTAAAAAAGAAGAAGATATTATTGATAAGCAATCATGTTTCATTATAATTTTGGTGTTAGTTTGCGGTGCATCTCATGAGAATGGAATGCATTTCTGTAAAATACAAATTTATTTGTCTATAGGAAACATTAATTACCCCCTGATCCATTGGTCTACTAGTATTAACATAACCATGTAAATATGCAAGATATTGATAAAGTGACAGAAATTCATAATAGATAAGTGTTTCATAACTACTAAAAAAAATAAAAAGATTTAGAAATTAAGGAAATAGAAAGAGGGGGAGAGAGAGACATATATTATGATATAAGCAATCCCAGACGCCTATTCAGATCAAATGGCTAAGAAATGGGATCAAGTGGGTGGGGTCTCTTAGAAAGTTTTCCCTTAAGCATATTCCTTAAGCCTTCAATTCTAACAAAATGCTTTCTTTCTGTAGAATGAAAGGGCTCATGTTCATGCATTGTCTCCACTCAAGAAAATTATTTTTTACTCCTTTCCAATATTTGCCTTTAAAATCTTCTTGGACCAAACCAAGATCCTGTGACTACCAAATTTGGGGCGAAATAAATGCCTTGAGACCCCTAAAATGGGAGAGGGACAAATATTGTTTTGGTCGAAACATGGGCAGACCAAATGTCCTTCTCTAGTTATTTACTTCTTTTTTATAAACAAATTTTGACCATTTGTAGGCAAATGCAGTTCATGTTTCTCTCAGTGACTACAATCTCAAAATGGAAAGAGGAAACGAAAAAAACTGCATTCATTCAAAAGTAGTGTCTTTTGGTGGTGTTGAGAAAGGGGTAGGAGTCGTGGTGGTAGCCACCCCACACCCTAATCACCATATTGTGGTTTTTATTTCCACGTATACCGTCCCACTAACACCTTGACAAAACTAACTCCTAAATTATTTGAAAAAATGGGTTGGGGCATGTTTTCCCCACTAAATTACCCAAAAACAAAGAAAATGTATCTTTTGGTGTCTAATATAAAGGGTATATAACTTACAATCTCATGACTTTTCATTTTTGTTAACATTTTGTTGTTGATTAAGGGTCTCGTCATTATTTTAAACTTTCTTTTTGTTTTGAGAAGTTCAATATAGGAATTAAATTTGAGATGTAGAGTTGTTTGACATGGCCAATCACTCAAGCCCAAGCCCGATCCTCATTATTTTAAACTTCCACTAAATACATTTTGTTACTTATTATTATTTTCTTTCAGTTGTAAAAACTCAATGGCCTAATGTGGATTGATGGTATTGGTCACATAACAAATCTTTCTCCACTCTTACATGAATAAATTTCTACATGCCACTACAATTCAAATTTGGAAACCGAATTGATGTAAAGAGAAGCGGACAAAAATGACTCCACTATAATTCAAACGTTTTTATATATGATATGTTGGTTCATTATCATCGGAACCTTTGTTAAACTATTTGGGGTTGGCTACATGATATATGAGATATTGATTATACTCTGAAGATTTGAAATTGCAAGAGACACTCCAAGATAGTTCTCTAATAGGGGAAGTGAATGTAGATTATGCTCGAGCTTGAGGATATAATTTAGAAAAAATATCTCTTTATCTTCTATTTTTAACTTTTATATCTCATGAGACCCAAGAATTGAAAAATATTACTTGTAAGCAAAAGGTCTCTATTTTTTATATCTTACAACCCTTGGACCCCTTTGACCCTAAATTTTTTATCTCAAAAAACACTAAAATGATACCCTATCCAAACTTTTCTTCTTCGGCAAAACTCCATCTTGCTCCAACTCTAAAACTCAAAGTTGCGAACAAATTCGCCTCTACATCATCTCTTTCTCCTCTCTATCTCTAAAAATTATCTAGCATTGTGGCCTCAAAAAATGGAATCTGAGGTATATGTGCCATATATCCCCAGAAAAGGTACTCAGATCGGTTCTTCACCTTTGTTTCTTGGGGAAGACCAAAGAATTCCTTAATAGCATAGAACATTTCCTTCTGCAGAGACTCAAGGACTGCAATATTGTACACAACCTCGAAATACCCTGGTCTCAAGGCCCTCCAGAGCATCTCGCACCTCTCGTGTTAGGGTTTTCCATCTCCATCTCTCAGTGCCTGGTATCAAATTACCAGAGAAATCAAGTACTGCTATTTTCATGCCTGAATCAGAGCCCATGTTCAAACAAATGGAGCTGATTTTTTTTTGGTTGAATGGGGATAGATTTGATTTTTTGGTGGGTTTGTTTGCAAAAGGTGCGGTGTATATATAGAGCAGGCCACAAGCTCTTTCCCTTTAGATACAAGCGCAAATATTAGTTTCTTAGTAAGAGCAGCTGGAGAAGAAAGCAACAGGAATTCTTTAATTAGACAGCCCATATAAGTCAAAAATGGCCATTGGTTCCTCTATTACCCTAGGAAAACATAGAAAGACAAAAACCCAAAGTTGCTGGAGAGAGAAAATGGCCACTAGTTCTTCTATTACCTAAGGAAAAAGAAATCAGAACCTGACGTAGTGATCGGAAGCCATTATAGTTCAAGTGTAAGGAAAAAGGAACGATTGGAGAGATATATATGAACAATAGGATCGGAAGCCATTATAGTTCAAGTGTCAGGAAAAAAGAACGATTGGAGAGATATATATGAACAACAGGAGGGTATATATATATATATATATAAGCGAGGGTTGCATACTTGCTATTAGTGTTTCTCTCCCTAGATAAGAAAGCCATGCCCAATAAACTGATAACCCTAAAGTTACATATAAATTAGATGCCTACTCAAAAGGTTAGACATACATGCAACATACCTTTGAGGGGTGCGTATCCTCTCTCTATGAGCTCAGGAATCTGAAGGTACGCCCAATATCCACAAGCACTCGTGGTCCAAAAGGTCACTCTTGGGACCCCAAACTCCTCGGCAACCTCTTGAGTGAAGTTCATAAGCCCATCGGAGATCACACACGTCACGCCAGGCACACCTAGACTACACTTGAGCCTAGTCATGAGTTCCCTAAAGGGAGCCTTCATGTTCTTCCTAGTTGACTCACAAAGCTCAATCACATTTGTGGTCCTTCCATGGCACGAGGGTAGCCCATCGGGTATTGTTTCTAGCAGAAAATCATCGAATCCGGTGGCCGCAACTTGACCGTTTGCTTCAGTAATCCGATCTTGGATGAACTCAGAGTTGACAAATGTTATGTAAAAGCCTTTGGAATGCAAGAGCCTGGCTAGCTGCATCATGGGCTTTATGTGCCCTTGTGCAGGGAAGGGGACGCATAGGGCGTGGGTTTTACCAGCTACATGAGATCCCATCTTTGATCTAAGGATGCCTATGATTTGTGTAGAAAGAGGGGGATTTATAGAGGCTATCTTGATGGACGCATCCCCTGTTTATTAAATTTTGAGCTCAATTTGTTTATCAAGGATAATGATATTTCAGGTGATTTTAGGTCGTACTAATGACCAAAGGCCCTGATCTAGTGTTCCAGCCGCCAGACCAAGTGTACAATTTAGTCTTTGGTCCAGGGAGACCACTATATGCACACCACATAAAATTCTATTAATCCAATGAAATTACAAAACCTTGAATAAAAGTACTGACGGCGGCTCGCTCATACCTTGAAGAAAATAATTGAGAGGCGGCTCGCTCCTTTGTGGGACCCAATGGTATAAAAAGCGACCCAGACAAATCGGGCATATCAAAAATCGATTTGTATCGGTGAATCGATTACAGAGATCGGGAATCGACTGAATCGGTCAGATTAAAGTTTCAAAAAAATTCGAAAAAATTATTAAAATTCATTATAAATGTGGTTTTTTAGGAATCCAATAAGAAATGAGAGTATTACATTATTAACTTTCATTTTTTTCATTAATTTGTGAATATTGAGATGCTCTTTCCCTATATAAACTTCAGTATTAAATTTACATCATATAAAAGAAAAATCATAGAATTATCATGGATAAAATATATAATTATACATAAACTATAATAAAGAGTAGACTAAATCAATGAAAGAATGGCCATTAAAATCTCGTTTTGGCGAAAAACCCT